CAATCACCAGTAATTATCAGTACATCTTGATTGCCTATTTGAGCAAATTCAGACAGAAGAAGTTGGTAGAATTCTTTAATTTCATCATTGTAAATTTGAATAATAGTAGTATTAACTGGTCTTCCTTGTAGGACTATGGATTCAAGACAGATCTTGATTTGTTCTTTTTGACAATGATAATGATGCCATTGCTCTTCAATTTTCATTCCCAGCATAGTAAACCATGTGATTGTCAGCTTTAAAATGGCCAATACCAGTGCATTTCATCTCACTTATGCCTTGGATATCAATGTTTATGTTTCATTTTTGACAATTTTCAATTTTCCTCAATTCATAATTTGTACATTACATGTTCCTATTATTAATATTTTGAGTTGTGTCCCATCAGCAATGAAGGTCCCAAAGACTTCATTCCATTCGCACTGTCATTATCAATTCTACTTTGAGAAGGCAGCTCTTTCCCAGTCATATTTTGAGTGCCTTCCAATCTGTAGGGCCACTATATCTGACAGTATTCTGGTGCTTTTCATCATGTTTTAATAGTAATATTCTGGTGCTATCTGACAGTGCTATTCATAAGGTTTTCAGCGACTAAATATTCAGAAGTAGTCTGTGTCTCCTTCTTTCTAGTCTGTTCTTTTCTAAGCTTATCCGAAACCTGTCCACCATGGTTGACCTTGCTGGTATTTAAAATACTGATGATACAACTTTCAAAATCACAGTAACATGCAAGCCACCACAGTATGGCAAACTGACAGACGAGTGGCGGGTGCATTATCATGGAGGTACATTAAAAGCATTAAATGAATCTCCTATTATTTTTGTAAGCATTTAAAGCTTACTTTAATGATGTGATGCTGCAAACCACAAGAGTAGCAATTAAAACCCACCAGATGCTCTTCAAAACCCTATACAGGTTGACTAAAAACTGACTTGACCAAATTTAAGAACAACAGCATCAAAGATTGCAAGGAAATAGAAAATCTTTGCCTCAGTGATGGGAAACCAGAGTTAGGTATATTTTTAAACTTTCACTTTGCCTGTTCTTTGTTACTTCTCATATTGTTGAGTGAGTTTTCAGACATCATAGGCCAGACCAAAACAAATACATAAGAATCACTAATAATGAACCACTGGTTTAAAACATCCAGTCAGAACAGATAGCTAAGGAAAAAGAGTAGTGCAAAACAATAGGAAAAATGTGAGGTAGAATCTGAAGTCATTATTCTGAGCACTGAATTTGAATTCTAGCTGCTTAATTTGCTAGCTCTGTGGTCTTGCACAAACCAGTTAACTTCTATGAGACTCTATTTCCTCCACTACAAAATTAGGAAACTCATCCTCACCTTGTGGGATAACTGTAAGCTCTGTTGTAAACAATGCAGTTTATAGGTCATCTGTTGGCTTTGTTTAATATGATGCTGAGCTTTCTTGTTACCAAGCTAATGTTTTAAAGCTCTATAAACCCATTTTAATGAATTTCACTGCCACCTTTAGCTAATTTAAACTTTCAAAATACATTAAATATCGTGAGTAAAGATAAAACAAAGCAAGGATAACTGAATATTTTTTTCAGTTTACATATCTATGCCATTGCCCCTAAGAATTCCATGTAGTCTTTCAAAGGTAAGATCACCAATCTAACTTGGGCTCACACAATATCTCCTCCCTGGCCCAACCACATATCCTATTCCAATCCTTTCCACCTCCAAGGTCACTTTCACATGCCTCATCTCCAAAAAAGGCTTATCTGACTGCACCCTCCATCTTAAGCCTAAGTGGTCCACCTTCCTTGAATTCTAGTACTGAATAAAAAGACTCTTACACATTTTACACTTAGACACAACAGTGCTGAGATGAAATGATTCTAATTTTATATCGTAGTTTTCTCTGTCCATTTAGGTTGCGCCTAGCACTGCATCTTCCTTGATCTTGCTTTACTTAATTATTGTTTAGGGTAGACTATTATCAAAGTCTGAGATGGTTTTTGCATATGGCAAAGGGTCAAAGCCTTCCTGAGGCTCTGTTGAAACTCGGCTGTTCACATGCTACTTTTTAATGGTAGTCTGAGTTCCTCCACAAAGATGTGGTGACCATATGCTCAAAATAGATGCTTCTGGGTCATCACAGCTTCCTTGTCTAACTGCAGATTATTATTTCTTTCCATGTATCCATGTTAGTGGATATGCACCACTTGTGTGTCAGTTTATTGCACTGTGGTAGGATGCATACTGATATAATGCTAGAAACTAAGTCATCAGTATTTCAAATACACTACAAAGCCACCCAAGATAAACAAGTTTCAGAAGACAGACTAGGAAGAAAGGGCTGATGATCTACTTTCAAAAATTAGACAATGAAAACTTTATGGATAGTATCAGAACATTGCCTGACTTGCTTCCTGTGGACATATCATCAAAAGGGATAAATAGCTGGAGGAGTGTATCATATTTGGTGAAGTAAAGGGCCACCAAAGTAAGAGAGACCCTTGCTGAGATGAATTAGCACAATACCTACAATGATGGACTCAAACATGATATAGGACCAATCAGTATTTTGTTCTGTTGTACTATTCTAAATGCTTTGTAATTATTAATTCAAATAATCCATACATCATGGTTGGTATTTTTATGAACTTTTGATGAAGAACTGCATGCATAGAGCAGATAAATAACTTGCTTAGGAATAAAAGCTACAAAATGTCAGGCCTAGATTTTTAATTCAGGCTGCCTGGTGCTAAAATCTGTGCTTTCAACCACTGTACCATACTGCCTCCCAATAAAATATTGCTGATTTAATGTACATATGTTGTTGTTGTTGTTGTTAAGTGCCATCGAGTCGGGTCCGACCCATAGCGACCCTGTACAGGGTTTCCGAGGGTGTAAATCTTTACGGGAGTAGAAAGCCTCATCTTTCTCCCGCGGAGCGGCTGGTAGTTTCGAACCGCTGACCTTAAGGTTCGCAGCCCGATTCGTAACCACTACGCTACCAGAGCGTAGTGTACATATAGTAATAGTTAATGTTTGCTAAGCATTTACTACATGCCCCATCCTGAGCAAATATTGTCTCATTTTGTGTGCAACTGTGGGATAAAGTATTGGACTACAAGATTAGTTTGAACCACAAGGTTAGCAGTTCAAACTCACCAGCTACTCCTTAGAAACTCTATACAGGGTCACTATGAGTTGGAACCCACTCAACGGCACTTATCAACAACAACTCCTTTTTCATTTAGATACTATTTCATCTCTATTTTACAAATTGGTGGTGGTGGTTGTGGGCCGTGGAGTTGGTTCTGTCTCATAGTGACCTTGTATAGGGTTTCCTAGTCTACAAATGTTTTTGAAAGCAGAAACTTCATCATTCTTCCAAGGAGTGACTGGGAGACTTATCTTGCAGTTAGGAGCCCAGCTCTCAATCCACTAACAATAGGCACAGACAGATTGGCCCAGGTCTCTTTGAATAATTAAAATGCTCTTAACACTATACTCCATTGCTACTCACTGTTTTAGATTGTTCTCCCCAGTGAATACTAGAATGATTTTTATAATTGGTTTGACTTGACTATGAAAAAAATAAGTACCTGTAAAGTTAAAGTACAGGCCAAAGATTTCTGTTGTTGTTGTTAAGTGCAATGGAGTTGGTTCTGACTCATAGTGACTCTGTATAGAGTTTCTGAAGCTGTCAATTTTTAGGGAAGCAGAAAACCTCATTCTTCTCTCATTGTTAAAGTTAAACAAGTTAATTAGAGACAGAGTAGACTCTAAGACTTAGATGTTTTGGTTTAAAATCTTCTTTTTCTGGTCTATTCCCAACTCTGCTGATATTTCTTAGTTGTCACATATAGCTCATCCTTCAAGTCTGGACCTTCAGTGCAAGAAGAAACAGCCTAAATGCAGAAAATTCCTTGAACAAAAGTCCTTTCTCCAGCAGCATTATAATGTATTTGGTCTGATTCCCCTACAGAACATGGTGAAAACAACAGATATATGGAGAGTTAAGTCAAATGAGATGACAGTATTCCCGAAGTGCTCTGATGAGACTGGATGCTGGAAAATGGTTGTTTGGGGGAAAATGTGTGAATGTATGGACACTAATGAATGATCAACTGAGGAAAGGGAAGAGCTCTATTCAATTGTCTCTTAAAAAGTGAAAAGGAAAGAAAAGGGGGAAATTCCTCACAAATTATCAAAACAATTTAAAAAATTGTCATCTCAGGAAGAAAATAGCAAAATACATGCATAACAAAAGTGATAAGACAATGTGACACAGATGAGTAGAGACAGAAATTCCAAGGAACAAAACCAAAAGGAACAAATAGTCTCATCTAGATTTTTTGAAGTGTCAAGGAAAAAAGGGGGAGGGAGTTACATAATTAGAAACCACAAGTATGTATATATTATAATTGTCATTTTAAAAAGTACCTTCACACATATGAAGGCCAGGAGCAAGGCATCTCCTCAAATGGATTACTGAAAGGGTATGGAGAGGGACAGGGCACAGTTGAGAATTGTGTAAGAAATGAGTAGCGGCATGGGAGACATTCCTGCATCATAATAGTATCCAGTGTCAGAACAAATGTAGGAGGCCCTTGCAGGTTCCTACGGCAGGCAGCCAGAAATATGGAGTAAGAAAAATGGGAGGTGGCACTTACAGAAGCTATTGTTTATAAACGGGAATATAAATATTTCAATATTTTAAACAACTGTTATTAACAAATCATTTGGCTATCAACTCAGGGTGAACAGAGGGTAAGAAGACCAGAGAGTCAAAAATATACTGAGACAAAATGTGCCAACTTCAGAGTTTCATTGACCATAGCCGGTCCTGCCTATGATGCACAACAGTGCCTCTGATATGGAATTTTTGTCAATCTCTTGTGTCTTTATCCTCCAACAATTTTTGTCCACTTCTTTGGAAGCCTAGGGATGATGGAAAGAGACGGGCTTGTACCCCTTGAGGTATCAATCATCCTCAAGGCAAAAAGGGGATTGGGTTACCTTCTTGCAGAGGACCATTTGATGGTCAAACAGGAAGAAGACTCGCTGTTGGTTACGGCCATAGGGCTGGTAGATCCAGGCCATCTCTCCAGTGTAGATCAGCTCCGAACTCCTGTCTAGGATGTCCTCACCCTAGGAAGGACATGCAATGGTGAGAAGCAGCCAAACAATAGTTATGATCCTGTTGTCTGCCTGGAAGCACCCAGGGCTGGACATAGACTAGGATGGGAAGAGGGTAGAAAGGGTCTAGAGGGGAACGAAAGAGGAAAGGACTCTTGGGAACTCTTAGGAGGCTTTATAAATTCAGCACTGAGGTCACATGAGTCCCACCACCCAAAACTGCTATAACCTCTCTGAGCCAGCTGTCCTTAAGACAATAACAGCCATCCAACTTTCTCTCTCTTTCTCTGAATATTTATCAGTCTCCCTCTCTCTATACATTTATCTTTCTTCCCCAGTATCTTAATCTTGGTTATAGTCTCTCAATTTCTTTCTAGTATCTGAAAAATAAATCTGAGTATGTGGTAGAAATCTCTTGGTCCCCCAGATGAGTAAGAGGGAACAAAAGGATGTAGAAGATGATAGAAAGAGAGAAAAATGATCTATTCACTCTATTATAATTACACTTTTCTTGCCTCCTCTCAATTAAATAAAATTTCCTGACATAAATAGGAAGCTTCCCCACGACATGCTACCTTGGAATGTTATATAGAGATTCTCAATTATTCTCCTTCTGTCACATGTACTCTGCCAAAACAAAAAACACAACACATGATTCGTAGCCTAATATATTCTATAGTTTTCAAGTGCCTCATACTATATGGGATTCTGTTATGCCATAGATATGAATGTGTGAGTGTGTGTATGGGGGAGGAAGACTCCGATGACAATTCACATTGACCCTTATCTTCAAGAAGCTTATATGTCAGTGGGGATACTAATGAAAGTATGCTTAGAATTCATGGAACACAAGGCTATCTCCAGGGCTATGTGAATATAAAAACATAGAACAGTGAACAAGGACCCAAGAGAATTAATATCTACTGACATGTATATAAATTATTATAATGAAATGTGCAAAGACCTGGAATTACAAAATCAGAAGGGAAGAACACAATCAGCATTTTTCAAAATAAAAGAAGTGAAGAAAGATTCAAGCTTTTACTTGAAATACTGAAATATTCTATAGACAAAAATGGAATGCTGCAGAAAACATCAGAAGAAGATGGAAGGAAAACAATATAATCCACTATATAATTTTTTTTTAAAAAAAGGAAAAGAACCACATGATCATATCCATTGACGCAGAAAAGACATTTGACAAAATCCAATATGCATTCTTGATTAAAAAACAAACAACAAAAAAAAACACTCAAAAAGTAAGAACTGAAGGGAAATTAATAATTAAGAGCACATATACAAAACCAACAGCCAACATCACTCTCAAAGGAAAGAAATTGAAAGTGTTCTCTCTCTGAATAGGAACCAGACAAGAATACCCTTTATCACCACTCCTATTCATATTGTGGATCATCATTTTCAAGATGGCGGATCAGATAGATGTGCAGTAAGGTGCTGCATCAGCAATAGCACAGAATACAGGACCAAGCAGGCTCAGGGGATGGTGCTAGAACTCTGAACCAAATATAAAGGAATATTTAGAAGCTTGGAAGGCTTACAGTCAGGGGAATTTGTAGCAGAATCAAGAAATCTATTGCTTTCTAATTCAAGATGCTCAGCTGCTCCAAGAGCCGCCATCTTAGGAGAGACCAAGTGGGGGAAGTATCAGAACAGACACAAATGCCTGACAGAACAGCGGAGATACAGATATGGACACTCATTTTTTGGTATCTGTTCATTGGTCTCTCGCTTTCTGCACACCTCCATTCTGGAGACTAGAGTGGATGCCTGAGTGAATGGGCACCGCAACTCATCCCCTGGAGGGTTCTACTATGCATGCACAGAGATCTCCTAAAATTTAAAGTGACAGTTTCCATTTAAAACCAAATGGCTACCACTTGTTTGTCAGTTTGTCGTACTACGGTGGCTTGTGAGTTGCTATAATTCTGAAAGCTATGCCACCGTTATTTAAATACCAGCAGGGTCACCCATGGTGGAAAGGTTTAACATGAGCTTCCAGACAAAGATGGACTAGGAAGAAAGAGTAAAGAACTACTTCTGAATATTTAGTCACTGAAAACCTTATGAATAGCAGAGAAACACTGTCAGATATAGTGCAGGAAAATGAGCCCCTCAGGTTGGAAGGCACTCGAAATTTGCTGGGGAAGAACTGCCTCCTCAAAGTAGAGTTGACCATGGTAATGTGAGTGGAATAAAGCCCGTGGGAGAAAAGCCTGCAGAACTTCATTGCTGATGGGACATAACTCAAAATGAAGAGAAACAGCTGTAAACATCCATCGAAAATCAGAACATGGACTGTACGAAGTATGAATCTAGGAAAATTGGAAGTTCTCAAAAATGGAATGGAACGTATAAACATCGATATCTTAGGCATTAGTGAGCTAAAATGGACTGGTATTGGCCATTTTGAATCTGACAACCACATGGTTTACTATGCCAGGAATGACAAATTAAAGGGGAATGGTGTTGCATTCATCATCAAAAAGAACATATCCAGATCAGTCATGAGGTACAACACTGTCTGTGAAAGGATAATATCTGTGGGCCTACAGGGAAGCCCAATTAATACCATTATTATTCAAATTTATGCACCACCCACTAAAGCTAGTAACAATGAAATAGAAGAATTTTATCAATTTCTTCTATCTGAAATTGATCAAACATGCAATCAAGATGTATTAATCATTATTGGTGATTGGAATGCAAAGGTTGGGAGCAAAGAGGAAGGATCAGTAATTGAAAAATATGGCCTTGGTGATAGAAATGATACTGAAGATTGCATAAGCGAAATCTGAAAAACCAATGATTTTTTCATTTCAAATACCTTTTTAGACAGCATAAGAGACAACTATACACATGGACCTCACCAGATGGAATACACAGAAATCAAATTGACTACCTCTGTGGAAAGAGACGATGGAAAAGCTCCATTTCATCAGTGAAAACAAATCCAGTGGTAGACTGTGGAACAGACCATAAATTACTCATATGTAAATTCAAACTGAAGCTGAAGAAAATGAAAACAAGTCCACGAGAGCCAAAATATGACCTTGGATATATCCCACCTGAATTTAGAGATCACCTGAAGAACAGATTTGATACATGAAACTCGAAAAACCAATGAGCAGAAGAGTTGTGTGATGACATCAAGAACATCATACATAAAGAAAGCAAAAAGTAATTGAGAAGATAAAAAAGAAGGAAAAGGTCAAAATGGATGTCAGAGGAGACACTGAAACTTGCTCTCCAGCATAGAGATGTTAAAGCAAATGGAAGAAATGAGAAGGTCCAAGAGCTAAACAGAAAATTTCAAAGATCAGATCAAGAAGATAAATCCAAATATTACAACAAAATGTGCAAAGATCTGGAATCAGGAAACCAAAAAGGAAGAACATGCTCAGCATTTCTCAAGCTAGGGGAATGGAAGAAAAAAATTTAAACCTCGACTTTCATTATTGAAAGATTCTCTGGGCAAATTATTCAATGATGCAGAAAGCATCAAGAGAAGATGGAAGAAGGGAACAAGCAAGATGGAAGACCGGGTAGAAGTGCAGTAAAGGAGCTCCAACAGCAACAACACAGAATACCTGACCAAGCAGGCTCGGGGATGGTCCCAGAAATCTGAGCCACATATAAAGGAATATTTAGAAGGTTGGAAGGTTTACATCTGGGCAATTTGTGACAGAAGAAAGAAATCCATTGCCTTCTAGTCCTGGACACTCAGCTACTCCAGGAGCCGCCATCTTGGGTAAGACCAAGCAGAGGAAGGACTGGAGTGGCCACAAACGCCTGGCAGAATCACAGAGATAAAGGTGTGGACATTCTTTTCTTTTGGTAGCGGTTCATTGGTCCCTTGTTTAACCTCCATTCTAGTTACTAGTGGGGTGAGTGAGATAGTGGGCACCCCAGTCCCACCCTTGGAGGGTTCTACTATGCATGTGCACAGATCGCAAAACTTAAAGAGACAGTTTCCAATTAAAACCAAACGGCCACAGCCGGCCCTGAACTGTTTACAACTAGAAACAAGGCCTAAACGGGGATTGTGGAGTGGGACAAGCAGACAAAAAAGGGAATAAGTGGAAAATTAAATCCTAACTTACGTCAAAATGACCAACATTGGCATCTTGAAATTTCTCAAGAAGAAGAGTGAAAAGGGAAGCCCATTATCTGATCACATCTACCTGGAGGCAATCAGAAAGCATAAAAAATACCAAAAATACATACCCATCTAAGTATTAAGGCCACAGATAACCCCTGAAGATGCCTAAAAACAGAAGCAAATGACCATATCTGCACATGTACAGAAACGAGATAAAGTGACTGAGGCAAATGAGCTGGAAGGAGACTTATACTCCATACTGGAAAATGGGCAGGCTTTGGAAATGCCTGAGAAGGAATT